AAGCAGCCTATAGCCAAAGAATGCCTGCCTCTGTCTCTTTTAACCTCCATGAGGTTTCCAGATAATAATCTGGTATTGGGTTTAACACACCCGGCTGACCTTAGGACCCTAGGCTGGCCTGGAGGTATATTTTCAAACAGATTCTCAAGTCCTACCTCCTGGAGATTCTGTATTTTGAAAAGGCAATTGGGCTGTTTCCAAGTATTTGGACAGATTTCAGAGTCTTGGAAATAATGTACTGTTTGTCCTGGAGAGCAGGAAGAAGAGGGGAAGGAAAGAGGGAGAATATGAGGATATGAATGTGTATGTGTGAATTTGAGATAACTGAGTCAAGGCCAGGTGTGGCTCGACCCCAACACAGGAGGTAGGAGGAAAGAAGGACATCAGCCTCTAAAAGTTTTGTAAACGTGAAAATCAAGCACATTTGCATAACAAGCAAAGAAAATGTTGCTCTCTTTGTTTTTTGTATTCAGTGGCTTTTTTTCTTTTTTAATACATATTCTGCTTATGTATCAACTACTTTTTTTTGAGACAAGTTCCCTGTATTAAGCCATTCTTGCATTGCTATAAAGAAATCCCTGACACGGGGTAACTTATAAAGAAAAGAGCTTTATTTGGCTGGTGGTTCTGTAGGCTGTACAGGAAACATAATGCTTGCAATCTGCCCTGCTTCTGGGGAGGTCTCAGGAAACTTACAATCATGACAGAGGACCAACCAGGAATAAGCATGTCACGTGACCAGAGCAGGACCAAGAGAGCAAAGAGGGTGACCGCACTTACTTTTAAACGACCAGATCTCATGAGAACTCAATCACTATTGCTAAGGCAGCACCAAATGGATGGTGCTAAACCATTCATGAGAAATCCACCCCCAAGATCCAGTCACCTCCAACCAGGCCCCACTTCCAGTACTGAAGATTACAATTCAACCTGAGATTTGAGCATGGACATATATCTAAACTGTATCAGTATGGCTCTGTTGCCCAGGCTGGAGTGCAGTGGCACGATCACAGCTCAATGCAGCCTGGACCTCCTGAACTCAAGCGATCTTCCCACCTCAGCCTCACAAGTGGCTGGCACCAGGCACATACCACCATGCCCAACTAATTTTTTTTTTTTT